GTTTCCTCTCCTCTGCTCTATCCTACTTCCTTTCTATCTCCTCTTCTCTCTCTCTCTCTCTCTCTCTCTCTCTCTCTCTCCTTATCCCCCTTATGCTAGCCCTCCCCCACCACCCCCCCCTTCATGACCCCATGTCCCTCTCTCTCCCTATCATATTTTCCTCTTTTAAGGCCCCCTCTCTTTCCTCCTCGTCTCTCCCCTCACTCCTCTCTCTCAACCTATCCCCCTTATGATGGCTCCTCTCTCCCCCTCTCACCTCATGGTGGCCATGGCCCCCACTCACACTCCCCTGTCTCTCCCCTCCTCTCTCTCCTTACTCTCTTTTTCTCTCCCTCTCCCTTTCCCTCTTACTCCACTCCTTTGTCTCTATACTTCCTTTTTTTCTCCCTCTCCCTCCTCTCTGTCATCCTATCCCCCTTATAATGGTCCCTCTCTCTCCTTGTCCCCTCATGATGATGGCCATAGCCACCTCTCACACTCCTCTGTCTCTCCCCTCCTCTCTCTCCCTACTCTCTTTTCCTCTTCCTCTCTCTCTCCCTCCTCTTTTTTTCTCAACTTTTATCCCTTCAATGATGCCCACTTCTCTCCCTCTCCCCTTTACTCTCCATTCCTCTCTCTAACTACTCTATTTTTGTCTCCCTCTCCTTTTCTCCCGTCCTCGCTGCACTCATCTCCCTCCTTAGGGCCCCTTCATATTTTTTTTTCCCACGTGGCCCTTTAATGAACTCCCATTTAAGAATGTTATATAAATTAAAAAACTTCTTAATTGTACCCTCAATGCACTTGAAAAAATAATGTCTTGAGATTGAATAGAGAATCCAATTTTTAGATGGTGATATCTAAGTGTTAGAAAACAGAAATTTCAAATATTTTTATGAATAATCATCTACTAATTTTTATACTGAAAAATTCTTCACAAGTAGGTCTTTTGACTGAGGGACTAGGTAAACTATGCTTCCGAGGAAGAATAAAAGTTGACGTGCTCAAACAAAAATCATATCAAATACTCATTAATTTTCAAGTTTGTGAATTTCACAAGTACATAAATGTCGGTTTTTGTCCTTTGCACATAATTACTAGCAAAGAATTAGAAAAAAAAAAAGAAAAAAAAGCTTAAATTTTTATGTAAGGCATTAAAAGAAATGTTGGTAGTTGAAAAAAGCCTTTCGAATGCGATTAAGAAATGCGAATGGATTTGTTTGTTCCTCTCAAGGTTTTAAAATTCGGCGTTTCTGATCGGAATCACCCGATCTGGATGGGATTTGGAGGTAGATGATCCGAATTTGACAATATATCGTAATATCCATTCCCCCCCCTCCCTTCTTCCCCTTAAATTGCCGATTTTTTGAAGAGACTCGGTGATTATCTACAGTGGAATCGCTAAGTCAAGCAAAAACATAGTGGGTCATGAGATTCCCAAATCTCTTTTTTATTTTTATTTATTTATTTATTTATTTTTATTTATGCTTTTTTATTCCTTTTTCTGCCATACTTTGGTATTTGCAGTGAATTATTAATCTAAATCATTGTATTATGGCTATAAAACAATATTTTGGGAATTAAACATGCATACAAAAAAAGTTCCAATCGATTCAAAGCGCGTTTTTTTTTTCCAGGGGTTCTGGAATTTCTGTCAATATTTAGATTAAATCTTCAATATTGAATTTTTTGGATGAATTTTATGGCACTTGAAAGATAATCCAAGCCTTTATAGAATCGATGTGTCACTTTGTTCAATCTACAAAAGATTGTGGGTCAATTTTTGTTCGAAACACTGATGTTGAAAAAACATGAGATCGATCCAAAATGGAAGATTCCAATCGATTTATAACTTGTTTTGGATCAAGTTGAATTGTGGTTTTTTATCGCCAATGTTCATCTCTCAAATAAAATAGGTAAATTTATCTATCATTGACTAATTTTTTTATACGAATATTTCTTGCTTGCAATAGATGAAAAGTCAATAAATTTGAAATTCTTTCTATTTTTTCAGTTAAATCTTCAATACCAAATGTTTTTTTGATGAAATTTGATATGTTTGAAAATTGATCGAGGCATTTGCAATGCATGTGTGCTGATTTGTTTGAATATATGAAGATTGATGGTCGTTTTTTGCATGAAATATTGCTAGATTTTAGGGGTTTTTGAGAAATCGATTTTTCTAAAAAAGAAACTTATTTTGCTAAATAAAATTATGTCTTTTGATTAATATGAGATTATTTTTTTCTATTTTTAGTTATCTTTAATTTTATCTCGTTACTTTACAAATTTCTAGGGAAAATTGTCAGTTTTTTAATTTTATTCTCTTTCTTTTAATGTTATATTTTTCTTTTAATATTGTATTATTTTTATTTTTTTTAATTTTTTTTTGTAACATTTAGATTTGAATGCATGTGTATCTCTTTTTGCTTGTTATTTTTATTTATTTTAAATAATCCATCATGTTTTTTTTTTTTGTTTCACGATGAATTCTACAATCTGTTTATCTTTATCTTCCTATATTTTTACCTTTTTAATTGTAGTTAAGGTTTTCTCCTATTTTTGTAATAGCATAACGCTTTTACGGGTGGCTTAGATGAAAATAGAAAATCTTAGAATAATGCAAATAGGACATTTAGATTATTAGATAATATTCGCCCGTTGTACTAATTAAAAAGAAAAAAATCCCTTGTCCCTAGTGTACTTTTATTCCTTGAAATAATTTTTATTTTTTTCCTTTGTTTTAAGTGCATGATAGAGTTTTATAAATTAGTTCTATATTATGGAAATATACTATTCAAATGGATTTAAATATAAACTAGCTCTTTATTACTAATCTTTTGTTATTCGATTATGAATTCTATTATGAATTTCATTTTAGAAATTACTTTAGCAATTACAAGAACATTTTAAGGAAATGATAAGGATGACTGGCTATTATAAGTTCTTGTTTTTGTTTTGTTATTTAATTGTAAATAGCTATTTTTTTAATGATATGGATGAATGGTTAATAAAAATTTAGACAAAAAAACATATTAGTATCACGGATTTTTATTGAATAATGAAAGTTCATAATACACCACTCCCAATTTATTTTATAGACAAAAAAGACTACATTCAGATATTTTTAGAATTTTTTTGAACCAAAATTCACGCCGACTCGATATGGGTTTTGGGGTGGCTGATTCGTTTTTTCAGACCTTGGTTTTCTCATTGTTGAAGCTGATAGGATTAAGGTATGCAATACACACTCGGTGCATGACATATGTTGTACACTAAACCACCGAGGCTTCCTCCATCAATATCCAACATGGGGTGGTTGATATTAACCAAGTTCCGACTTCAAACATTCACACATGGAAAGTTGATCTCCACTGCTCCACCGTCTATTTTTGGGTGGATACGTTGTGGTGTGAATACTCAGCAGCAGTGTTTTAAAACCCAACGATTTCCGATTGCGAATCTTAATAGGAATCCATCAGGACCAAATTAGTTCCAAGCCCCAGTTCCCCTTAAAATATCCTTTTATATTATAGGAAAAATTACAAATAATTTTCAAAAATAGACTTTCTATACAACTTACCTTTAACCAAACTTTTTTCTCACTCTTTATTCCAAATTTAACTTTCCTCGTAAATACTCCTCAAGTCATAGAAAAGGTAAAATAAAGACCAAAATACCCTCTGAAAAACATGTGGTCTAGTACAAAATGGAGGCAGTCCGTTACTTTACTTCTAGAAAGCATACGTTCTGGTACAAAATAGGAGCGGTCTAACACTTTGGGCGTGTGGTCCGACACAAAATGGGGGGTACAATGTTTTTGAAAAGCATGCGGTCCGGCACAAAATGGGGGCGGTCCGGCACTTTAGGCTTCTGAAAAGCATGTGGTCTGGCACAAAATAGGGGCGGTTCGACACTTTTGGCATGCAGTCGAGCACAAATTGGGGACGGTTCAATACTATGTGCATTTTCGTCAAAAAAATATGACGTTTTTTTTACTTGGGGGTATTTACTAGAAAAGTTGAATTTGAAGTAATTGCTAGAAGGTTTTTGTTGGGGGTAGGTTGTTCATTTTGAGGGTTTTTTTTATATTATATGGGATGATATTTAATGAGACAATTTATCTTTGATACAAGGTGATCACAATTATTTACAACCATCCGATGTGAAATTTGATAGCTTGGATCTTTCACAAAGTTCGAAAAAATGTCTTTTGAAGTTTGAGCTTAGTCAATGAAATAATTGCAGCCACCTAATTTCACATCCAATGGTCAAGATTAATATCTCACTTTATACTAAAAGTAGATGGTCTCATTCTATACTTTCCCATATTATATATTTTTTATGTTCATTTTGTGTTTTTTAAGATTTTTTAAAATCCCCTCTATATCTCCACTCAAAAAATCCAAGTTTTTATTTTATTTTATTTAATTTTTTGACATTTATTTGTGGATTATCGATTCCCACCCATCTAGACCCGTTGAGATTGTTGATTCTATGATCTAATACATATATATGTGGATGACCGAACTACCGCCACTATTTTGAAACGCTGGTCCACAGCGTACACCTCACACCACCCCAGGAGTAGTGAAATGCAAGCAAGAGAGCAAGTGCACTTCCCGCCCCACTTAGCACGTGCAGGCGAGAGTAAGATTAGTAAACCTTAACGACGTTGTTGTTTTCGAGAAAAATCACAAATCGAAACAAGAGCGAAAACGAAAAGAAAATTTTTTACTGCACAGAAGAAATTCCTCCTCATTTCATGGCATTTTGATGATGCAGAGAGGGTCCTCTTCAAATACCAGTTATTACAGGAAGAGGCCACCATTCGTAGATCTGCCTTCTCTTCACAGTTGATCCTGAAGAAGAAGAGAGAGAACGAAAATGAATTTGCTCAAGGATTTACCGGCTATGGATCATATGAGATCTGAGCAGATGACTCTAGTTCAGCTCATAATCCCCGTGGAGTCAGCCCATGGTGCCATCTCTTACCTTGGAGATCTCGGCCTCCTCGAATTCAAAGATGTGAGATTCAAAACACCAGATCTGCTCTCCTTCGTTGATATTTTTTGGCCTTTTGGTATTTCATCAGTTTCTATGAACGAATTTGTTTGAACTTCCATGATTCACGTATTTAGAGGTTTGAATTTTGGGTTTTATTTACAGTAATTGGAGTTTTGAATGGTACAGATTTTGGTTATTCAATTTCACAGTAATTGAATTGTGGCATCAGAAGTTGTAATGAGCCCATGAATTTGGATTCGTAATTTGCTATTTTATAGAGATTGTAGTTAGTTGTTTCCTTTTTTCATGTAGAGCTAAGTGCAAAACGATGTCAGCATTGTGTAGTGTTATGCTGATGTATTATAGTTGAGTAATTGGAGAATGGATTTGCTTGCTAGATCTGATGAAAATATTTGAATTGATGACTCAGTTTTAAGCAGTTGGACGACTTTTAATAGCGGGTTAATTTCCCACGCATATCTTTTGTGAATTATTGTTGTTAAGAGTATTTGCCCCATATGAGGCATTCGGAAAGGCTCAACTCCAAATTTATGTATTGCTGTTGGGGTCTTGATTCATATTCCATGCGTAAGTGTGATCCTTGGGAGGAAAATTGACCTTTTTGTTGACATGCTTCGTGTGGGACATATGGGGATTGCTTGGATTGGTTGGATTTTGAGCAGTTTCTGTAAAAGACAGATTTAAAATGAAGCTCATGTTGTGGAGCATGATGCGGTATTTTGGGCAAGTGAAGTCTTGTGAAGTTGGGTGTCATAGTTGTGATCTATATGTCGACTGGGGCTTGCTTATTTATTATGTCGCAAATTTGTGAAATTGCCTCGGACATGGGTTTGTTAGCCTTCTTGAGAGTGTTGTGTAAATTTAAGTCTACCTTGGCTAGCTTATTATGCCATTCATCGTATAACTGTTTCGTCTAGCAAGAGGGTTTGAGGCTCACTTGACATGAGTTTTTTATCTTCAATAGGCACATCTTTCAAGGGAAATAGAAAAGCATTGACAAACATGATTTATAATTCAACTAATACATGTTTCATTCAATTCATTATAAAACTAACCTATTGCTTTGGTTCATGAGGTGATGATAAGAAATTTGCCAAACAATTTGGGCCATGTAATCCGATTCTTTCTCCCGATTGTCCCATATTAGAGGTCTAAGGATCTCATTCTTAATCCAATAGGGATTCTCACTTCCTAGGAAAAAAGGAAAAGTATTCTTGCTTTCCAAGACCTTGATTGATAACGCTACATATAAAGCTACTTATCCTTTTGCATTAAGCATATCTGGCGATTATGAGTATCGAAAGGGGGCATTAGACTAACAAAGTCCCTATGAAGTTCCCAATGGGATCCTTGAATTCAATCTCATCGATATATGAGCTTCTTATAGTTACTTAGCGTGCAACTTTGAGTAGTTCCTCTGTGATGGCCTGAGGATGTTAAATTGTGTAGGTATGTTCTTTGATCACCACATGAAATGTGTTGTATCCTTTTTTGTGCTATTTGAGTATCCAAATGCTAGCCCTTGTATATATTTGTGGGGCTTCTTGAAGAGACATGTTTGCTTGGGGTGTTATGACCATAATATATCCATACCATGTGGCATTCACACAAGGAACTTGTATGTATGGCTAATGAGGAAATTTTGTCTTACTTTCATATGTTGTACCCTTCACAACTTTTCATCATGTGAAAACACGACGAAAAGCTTTGTGGATGTCATTGAGAAAAAAGGTGATGCAGGGAGAAATAATAATAAACCAGAAAATAAAAATAAAATACAAGTTTGAGAGATTATACCTTCTCTCTAGGTCTGCAAGGGAGTCTACCCTGAAAAGATCTTTTCATAAGAACAACTTTGCTCAATTCTAATATCTGCTTTTACAATGAAGGGACATCTCCTTTTAAATAGATTTTTAGAAGAAAAAAATCCAAAAAACATCTCTCTCCTATGTTTTTTTCTCTCTCCATAACTTCTCTCTCTTCAACTCATTCAACCTCTCTAACTTATCTCTCTCTCTCTCTCTCATGCCTATCTCCCTATTTCCTCTCAAATCAACCTCCCTATTTCCTCTCACGGGAATCTCTATCCCCTTCTTATCTATTCCCCAAAATCCTCCCACTTAACAACTCATGCACCAAAATCCTCCCTCTTCCCTCTTAACAACTCAAAATCCTCCCTCCTAACTTATCCCAACGCTTTTCCTATTCTTAAGGAAGATAAACAAAAAGATAATAATACCAAAATTTTGAATTTTTTTCATTGTTTCAAAAAACAGTCATCGCACGCCCAGACCCAAGCGGCCCAATACGGGCGGATGTACCTGGGTGGGCGCCTAGGCAAAGGGGCTCATTTTCCCCCCAAGATAGTATAAATATATTATGGGGGTTATTTTTAACCCCCAAAGATAAAAAAACACCCTCAATCTCCATGCTAAACGTATTTTTGAGAATCGATTGTAATTTCTGAGAATTGAAAATATTTTTTGTGGATTGAAAAAATTTCCTTTTCTCATTAAAATTATTTTTAGGGTTCTATTGGAGGTATTAAAAGACTTTTGAGTTGATTAGTAGCTCGATTGAGGTAGCCAACATTGAAGATCAAAGATTGGGCTAACTTTCTACAACAGGGCACCTACTTAGGCGCCGGCAGCCGGCCGCCTAGTGTTTTTTGAAACCTTTATTTTTTTAATTTCTTCTGCATAATTCTCTCGGGGTTGGGAGAAGCTCGACCTCTAGCTTGATTCAAAGTGGATCCCCTTCATCATCATGTAGGATCAATTATGAAACTTGAATCTTTTTCGTGAACTTCATCCTCTTCCTTAGCCAAGTGTACCTCCATCCTCTTTTTTGGGCATTCATATGCACGGTGTCTTGGCTTGTTGTATTGATAACACGTAACCTTTGCAGTATCATTTTTTTCTTCATTAAATTTGGGTTGGCACGAAACCTCCTTCTGAGTGTAAAATCGCTTGTCATGCTCCATTGGTATTTAGTCTCTACTCTTATAGAAATTTGAAAAGCTTCACTTAAAGTCCATGGGCGATGTAGAGAAACATTGTCCCTAATGGTAGGTTGAAGGCCATTTACATATCGAGCAACCTTTTGTCCTTCCGTCTCTTGGAGGTTGTTTCGAGCAACTAATCGATAAAACTCCCTAGTATAATCTTCCACTTTCTTCTCATTATGTCAAAGATTTTGGACATGAAAGAAAATTTGTTCATGATCCACATGAAGAAAATTTTCTTTCAATTTCTTTTTCATCTTTTGCCAGTCAATAATTTTTCCCTTTCCAGTGTAAAATCAGGATTGTTGAACTTGTTCCTACTAGGCCGCAGCATACCTGTGGAGCTTGGTTGCAACAATTTTAACTTTACGTTCCTTCGGCAATTCAATCCATTCAAAATAATTTTCAACTGCACAACCAATCAATAAGTGCTTTTATTTAGAGTTTACCATGAAATTCCAGGAGATCGACTTTAATACGAAAATCTCATGGACGCTCTATAAGACGCAGATCTTGCCTGTAAATTTCTTCATTACGATCAGGATCAGTACCTTGGGTTTGTTGTGGGAATACTGGTGTAAGATCGATGTGATTGCGAGCACATTTTTCGCGATGAACATTGTTCTCCAACCGTTGTTACAACTGATTCATTTTATGTACTTCGGTTCAAACATCCTCCATGACTTTGGTCAAACTTTTCAAAGCTTGTCCCAAGCGATTATGCATAACATGATTAGCTTTCGATGGCATTGTGAAAGCTGGATCTTGCTTGATACCAACTGATGTAGGGAGAAATAATAATAAAGCAGAAAATAAAAATAAAATAAAAGTGTGAGAGAAAATATCCTATCTCTAGGTCTACAAGGCAGTCTACCCCAAAAAGATCTTTTCACAAGCTTAACTTTACTCAATTCCTATCTCTGCTTTTACAATGAAGGGACATCTCCCTTTAAATCGACTTTTAGAAGAAAAAAGTTCAAAAAAATCTCTCTCCCCTATGTTTTTTTCTCTCTCCATATCTGCTCCCTCTTCATGTCATCCAACCTTTCCAACTTATCTCTCTCTCTCTCACACCTATCTCCCTATTTCTTCTCACAAGAATCTCTATCTCCTTCCTAATCTATTCCCCAAAATCCTCCCACTTTACAACTCATGTACCAAAATCCTCCCTCTTCCCTCTTAACAACTCACGCACCAAAATCCTCCCTCCCAACTTATCCCAACGCTCTTCTTATTTCTAAGAAAAGTAAACAAAAAAAAAAAATACTAAAATTTTGAATTTTTCTAATTTCTTTTTGCGTCAAAGGGTTTCATTGAGCTTCTTTGTTTGTGAACATTCTCAGTGTAGGATCATCTATGAAGATCCATAAGTTTAGAAGACTAAAGATGCTGACAGATAAGTTTATAATAATGTATATGCTGGTGTTGTATATGTTGTGGGATTATGGGACACTCATAGAATGAGGTACTAGACCATTGTTCTAGGGTCAACTTGATTATAGGTTGATATCCTTCCATGAAAGCCTGTTCCGTAATTTGGTACATTCCATTTACCCAAATTTTTGGAAAACTGTGTCATCTATGTGTTTCCTTTATAATTTTTATGTGATTTTTTTTAAAATTTCCATTCCTTGTGTTCTCTTTATTTTATCAATTGGTTTCTTCTTAGTTTCTTATGAGGAAACACCTTTTCCTAATGTCTTTCTCATGTTTTTCCTTGTGCTCTCATGCTCTAATTAGATTCGCCATTTTCCGAATTGCTAGTTTTTTAATAATGTTACTTGCGTCGAACTCCTGAACCATTTCTAGACTATTTTGCAAACTCATTTTCCTTGTAGACAACTCAGGGAAATCTAAGTCTGCATGCTTTTTAGTTTAACAATCTTAGATACTAATTAAGAGCTATAGTGTGAGTGGGCAGAGAGACTTCATGAATGCCATGGGTCCGATATAAGAAGGGAAACCTATATCATTTGTTTAAGTTGAGGATTTATAA